GGTGTAGTCTCAGGTGTAGTCTCTGGTGTAGTCTCTGGTGTAGTCTCAGGTGTAGTCTCTGGTGTAGTCTCAGGTGTAGTCTCAGGTGTTGTCTCAGGTGTAGTCTCTGGTGTAGTCTCTGGTGTAGTCTCAGGTGTAAGACGTTAAGGGGATGGGGCGGCTTTTTTTGCTGGTTTTAAAATTATTATGTTTTATACAAGTTTTAACATGCATTTTCATTTGTGCACCTATTCATTATGTATAAATTAAATATTTAAACTGAAAACCAATTAATACAAACGATGAATAAATTTGCACCGGATGTAGCAACGACATCTCCTGTGAATTTTCTTAATTTCAGCAAAGAACGAATGGCTATTCCGGAATAATCTATAACGCGGTTTAAAAGTGATTTGTTGTATTATTGTATATGTATTGTACAGCTCTATGGTTGGTATTGTGTTTGGCTGAGTGAACACTATCTCTCCAGGCAGGGCTATACGGTTATCTGAATCGTGTCAGTGCATGCGACGCATTACAACAATAATTACGTAATAAACATATCCAGATATGTATCACCAGGAATACAACAAAAAGGTGAATTCACAAATCTTCAGATACCTAATTAGCGTTTTTAAAATGTTCATTTATTTATCATTGTTGCAGTTGTCAGTTGCAGTTCACAACACTACAATATGGGTAAGGGAGGTAACTGCGAGAACAAAATAAAGTGTTCAGTTTTCCGCGATTGTGTCAGTGGAAAACAAAGAAATATTGGTCGATTGATTTTCAGGATTGATACTGATATAAATAACCCGTTTTATTTTGTAATTTATATCAATTGTGATGGTATTCATAAAGTATTTTTGATATATACTATAGTGTAAGTGTTTAAGAGTTGTAGTATAGAGTATTTTTAATATATACTATTGTGTAAGTGTTTAAGAGTTGTAGTATAGAAGCGGTAATGTTTCCTTTGATTAATCTGTAATGTTAAATGTATGTGGTATATAAGTAAGGTTATAATTTGTTATCGTTATGATCGTACTACTACTGATTTACAATGCTACTGCACGTTTGCATGTTAAACAAATTAATAAATAAATAAACATACAACATTTGATATAGCGCCCTATCTAGCTAGAATAGGTCACTCTAAAGCGCTTTACAGTACAATTAATACATTAAGCATATACATTAATCAATACAACTTTGAGGAATTCGCAGGAGCTGCCATATCAGGTGCTAACTACTAGTCCTATGCCACATGGCTAATATCTCCCTATGTGTGTATGCCTGCGTCTATGCTGGAGATGTATTGTATATTGATATATTGTATCAGTCATGACTTCTCCAGTGCCTATGTTTATGTTTATGTTTATGTTTTGACTATTTATAACAATAGGCAAATTCTTAGCAATAGAAACAACAAGAATTCAAACATCAGTACAGTTATCATTAAAACACTTTTATTGTACTATAGAAATGTTATCATTAAACACTTTTATTGTACTATAGAAATGTTATCATTAAAACACTTTTATTGTACTATAGAAATGTTATCATTAAAACACTTTTATTGTACTATAGAAATGCTTTCATTAAAACAACTTTATTGTACTATAGAAATGTTATCAATAAAACACCTTTATTGTACTATAGAAATGATATCCTTAAAACAACGTTATTGTACTATAGAAATGTTATCATTAAACACTTTTATTGTACTATAGAAATGTTATCATTAAAACACCTTTATTGTACTAAAGAAATGTTATCATTAAAACACTTTTTATTGTACTATAGAAATGCTATCATTAAACACCTTTATTGTACTATAGAAATGATATCATTAAAACACTTATATTGTACTATAGAAATGATATCATTAAAACAACTTTATTGTACTATAGAAATGATATCCTTAAAACAACTTTATTATGCTATAGAAATGATATCATTAAAACACCTTTATTGTACTATAGAAATGTTATCCTTAAAACAACTTTATTGTACTATAGAAATGATATCATTGAAACAACTTTATTGTACTATAGAAATGATATCCTTAAAACAACTTTATTATGCTATAGAAATGATATCATTAAAACAACTTTATTGTACTATAGAAATGATATCATTAAAACACCGTTATTGTACTATAGAAATTTTATCATTAAAACACTTTTATTGTACTATAGAAATTTTATCATTAAAACACTTTTATTGTACTATAGAAATGTTATCATTAAAACACTTTTATTGTACTATAGAAATGTTATCATTAAAACACCTTTATTGTACTATAGAAATGTTATCATTAAAACACCTTTATTGTACTATAGAAATTTTTATATGCAATGTATTGATTCAAATATAAGTCAAGATTAACAGTAAATGTTGTCAGATCAGGTAAAAACAATGAAGCTATATATACTTCAATATATGATATTGACAAAAGACTGAAAGTAGGATGACCTAATGACGATCATTAAAGGTTGTATTTTTTCAAATTACAGATATTTTATTTTTATTTTGACAGTTTTGGTTTTAAATGGGAAAGTATTTTTCAGATGAATACAGGATACAGATTTTGCGGAGATGTGGTGTAGATGATAGTGCAGTCCGAATATAACTAAGCTATATATTCCTCATCTTAAAAGTACAGTTTTACTTTTCATCGAAAACAAGATCACATTCTACTATTTCAGTGAAACTGTACAGTTGTGGACTATATGTTTCTTTACAAATTGATACATATATATACCGATGCGTAGATTCATGCACAACACATTATACTTAGACGTCACATATTTTTAAAATACATATAAAGCATTATTTTAAACTTATGATAGAAATATACCATGCACTTAAAAGCAGAATATTAAGTAATTATTATTTTCCCATCAAAATACTTATCTATTTACATTGATTATAATCATTTTTAATTATGTCACATCAGTATATAATGTGTTATATTCACTGGGAAATTGTTTCATTTTATCTCCATATATCATGAACTATGCAGCATGTCCAATAATCTAGAAACTGACAAATTAGCATTGTGCAATTTTCAATTTCCCATTTCATTATATATAACAACAATGGATCATATCGTTTCACATCAAGAAATGTAATACTGCATGACTATCGCATCATACGATGCCGTAGATAATATGTCATTCCTGTTACTATCATAGCATACCGTAGATAATAGGTTATTCTTATCACTACCATAGCATACCGTAGATAATAGGTTATTCTTATCACTACCATAGCATACCGTAGATAATGTCATTTTTATCACTATCATAGCATACTGTAGATAATATGTCATTCTTATCACTACCATAGCATACTGTAGATAATAAGTTATTCTTATTATTACCATAGCATACCATAGATAGTATGTCATTCTTATCACTACCATAGCATACTGTAGATAATATGTCATTCTTATTACTGTAACAGCATACCGTAGATAATATGTAATTCTTATTACTAACATAGCATACCGTAGATAGTATGTCATTCCAGGGACGTATAGTGAAGGGGATTAGCAACTCCCTCTCTGCCTTACCAATTTTATGACACGTCAATCTAGACTTACCTCCCCCTGATTCCGGACCAGATAACGAGCGCCACCTATCTCAATTTTGACAAAGCAAGATGGCGTCGATACCGCTTCGTTAGATGCAGAAGTTGGTGTGAAAACATCCCATTGTAATAAGCTGATTGTATAACTTTTAATTGATAAAATCTGTGGTATCATAGTAATTGATGTCTCGTTTTTGGGTTATATTTTTCTATTTTTAAACGCGATGTAACCCGTGGTTCAGAGTATTGTGGTGGGCTTCGATAGACAAAAATGCGGGATAAAAAACCCACATGTATGTGAACCACCTCACTCCAAAAGTATTTGACCGATCTTTTTTAAATTAGCAGCAATAGAAAGCTTAATAAATTTTATAACGACCCAACCCATTTTAATTGCAAGTAACATAATTTAACTTGTGTTATTTTTGTGTCAAAAAGACTAAATATCTGCATTATTTTTCACTGGAACATAAATCATTATTGCGAAAGTAGTTGGTGACTGCTCACTGTTTTGATTAAATTTTATAAACTATCGATTATATTTTTTAAAACAATTAATATCAATAAACAGCTGAGTAATTTCTATGTTAAGTAGGCCTGATTTGATTTGCATTACTTGGAACGATAGCGATGTCACAGATGAAATTACTCGTCTGGTAACGAAGGACAAGTGTTGTTAAAAACC